TTTATTCCATTATGCGTTCTTCTTCAAAGAAAAAAAAATTGATTTTATACATAGAACGCCTTTCCAATGCTAGACTGTCGTGAAAATATCTTAAAACGTGTTTAAAAAAATAATATACTGTAAACAAACTAATTTTCCGGGTTTTTTCCTGTTTTTAAGCATTAATTGAAATTTCCCGAACAAATAAAATTTTTTTTATACGTAGGATCTTTTAATACATCGTAAAACACGTTAAATAAATAATATAATGTAAAATACACAAAAGAAAAAAAAATTTAAAAATTGACCACAGCCGAGGTTCGAACCCGTTCCCCCTCGCTGCAATCGCAAGTCACTAGCACATGGTCTTAGCCGTTGTACCACGCTTATACGGGAATCGTGTTACTACATAGCTTTAATTGCTCTCTCCCGGCAAGCTAAACAAAAGACGTAAGGGATAATTGCGACATCCCTAATCTATCTATAAAATTTATCTTTAGTAGGGTGGTTTGGTTCATAGAGACCTACTTTCGGTCCAAGTTTGAAAATTATAGCTTAATATTCAAGGGAGTTAGGCGGTCTTGAAATTTGGGCGTTTTTCCCGCCATTGTTTTTAATTCTATTTTTTATTCCATTATGCGTTCTTCTACAAAGAAAGAAAATTGATTTTATACATAGAACACCTTTCCTATGCTAAACTGTCTTGAAAATATCGTAAAACGCGTTTAAAAAAATAATATACTATAAACAAACTAATTTTCCGGGTTTTTTCCTGTTTTTAAACATTATTTGAAATTTCCCGAACAAATAAATTTTTTTTTATACATAGGATCTTTTAATACATCGAAAAACACGTTAAATAAATAATATAACGTAAAATAAACAAAAGAAAAAAAAATTAAAAAATTCACCACAGCCCAGGTTCGAACCCGTCCCCCCTCGCTGCAATCGCAAGTCACTAGCGCATGGTCTTAGCCATTGGACCACGCTTACACGGGGTTCGTGCTACTACATAGCTTTAGTTGCCCTCTCCCGGCTAGCTAAGCAAAAGACTTAAGGGATAATTGCGACCTCCCTAATCTATCTATAAATTTTTACTTTAGTAGGGTGGTTTGGTTCATAGAGACCTACTATCGGTCCAAGTTTGAAAATTATAGCTTAATATTCAAGGGAGTTAGGCGGTCTTGAAATTTGAGGGTTTTTCCCGCCATTTTATTTTTTTCTATTTTTTATTCCATAATGCGTTCTTCTTCAAAGAAAGAAAATTGATTTTATACATAAAACGCCTTTCCAATGCTAAACTGTGGTGAAAATATCGTAAAACGAGTTTAAAAAAATAATATACTGTAAACAAACTAATTTTCCTGGTTTTTTCCTGTTTTTAAGCATTAATTGAAAATTACCGAGCAAATAAAATTTTTTTTATACATAGAATCTTTTAATACATCGTAAAACACGTTAAATAAATAATATAATGAAAAATACGCAAAAGAAAAAAAATTTTAAATATTGACCACAGCCGAGGTTTGAACCCGTTCCCCCTCGTTGCAATCGCAAGTCACTAGCACATGGTCTTAGCCGTTGGACCACGCTTATACGGGGCTCGTGCTACTACATAGCTTTAATTGCCCTCTCCCGGCTAGCTAAACAAAAGACGTAAGGGATAATTGCGACCTCCCTAATCTATCTATAAAATTTTAATTTAGTAGGGTGGTTCGGTTCATAGAGACCTACTTTCGGTCCAAGTTTGAAAATTATAGCTTAATATTCAAGGAAGTTAGGAGGCCTTGAAATTTGAGCCTTTTTCCCGCCATTTTATTTTTGTCTTTTTTTTTATTCCATTATGCATTCTTCTACAAAGAAGGAAAATTGATTTTATATATAGAACACCTTTCCTATGATAAACTGTCGTGAAAATATCGTAAAACGATTTTAAAAAAATAATATACTATAAACAAACTAATTTTCCGGGATTTTTCCTGTTTTTAAACATTATTTGAAATTTCCCGAACAAATAAATTTTTTTTTATACATAGGATCCTTTAATACATCGATAAACAGGTTAAATAAATAATATAATGTAAAATAAACAAAAGAAAGAAAATTTTAAAAATCGACCACAGCCGAGGTTCGAACCCGTCCCCCCTCGCTGCAATCGGAAGTCACTAGCACATGTTCTTAGCCGTTGGACCACGCTTATACGGCGATCGTGCTACTACATAGCTTTAATTGCCCTCTCCCGGCTAGCTAAACAAAAGACGTAAGGGATAATTGCGACCTCCCTAATCTATCTATAAAATCTTAATTTAGTAGGGTGGTTCGGTTCATAGAGACCTACTTTCGGTCCAAGTTTGAAAATTATAGCTTAATATTCAGGGAAGTCAGGAGGCCTTGAAATTTGAGCCTTTTTCCCGCCATTTGATTTTTGTCTTTTTTTATTCCATTATGCATTCTTCTACAAAGAAAAAAAATTTATTTTATACATAGAACACCTTTCCTATGCTAAACTGTCGTGAAAATATTGTAAAACGAGTTTAAAAAAATAATATACTATAAACAAACTAATTTTCAGGGATTTTTCCTGTTTTTAAACATTATTTGAAATTTCCCGAACAAATAAAAATTTTTTTATACATGGGATCCTTTAATACATCGAAAAACAGGTTAAATAAATAATATAATGTAAAATAAACAAAAGAAAATTTTTTTTAAAAATCTACCACAGCCGAGGTTCGAACCCGTCCCCCGTCGCTGCAATCGCAAGTTACTAGTGCATGTTCTTAGCCGTTGGACCACGCTTATGCGGGGTTCGTGCTACTACATAGCTTTAATTGCCCGATCCCGGCTAGCTAAACAAAAGACGTAAGGGATAATTGCGACCTCCCTAATCTATCTATAAAATTTAACTTTAGTAGGGTGGTTCGGTTCATAGAGACCTACTTTCGGTCCAAGTTTGAAAATTATAGCTAAATATTCAAGGAAGTTAGGAGGCCTTGAAATTTGAGCCTTTTTCCCGCCATTTTTTTTATTCTATTTTTTATTCCGTTATGCGTTCTTCTACAAAGAAAGAAAATTGATTTTATACATAGAACACCTTTCCTATGCTAAACTGTCGTGAAAATATCGTAAAACGAGATTAAGAAAATAATATACTATAAACAAACTAATTTTCCGGGATTTTTCCTGTTTTTAAACATTATTTGAAATTTCCCGAACAAATAAAATTTTTTTTTATACATAGGATCCTTTAATACATCGATAAACAGGTTAAATAAATAATATAATGTAAAATAAACAAAAGAAAAAAAATTTTAAAAATCGACAACAGCCGAGGTTCGAACCAGTCCCCCCTCGCTGCAATCACAAGTCACTAGCGCATGTTCTTAGCCGTTGGACCACGCTTATACGGGGTTCGTGCTACTACATAGCTTTAATTGCCCTCTCCCGGCTAGCTAAACAAAAGACGCAAGGGATAATTGCGACCTCCCTAATCTATCTATAAAATTTTACTTTAGCAGGGTGGTTCGGTTCATAGAGACCTACTTTCGGTCCAAGTTTGAAAATTATAGCTTAATATTCAAGGGAGTTAGGCGGTCTTGAAATTTGAGCCTTTTTCCCGCCATTTTATTTTATTTTATTTTTTATTCCATTAAGCGTTCTTCTACAAAGAAGCACGATTGATTTTATACATAGAACACCTTTCCTATGCTAAACTGTCGTGAAAATATCGTAAAGCGAGTTAAAAAAAGTAATATAATTTAAACAAACTAATTTTTCGTTTTTTTTACCAGTTTTTTAGCATTATTTGAAATTTCCCGAACAAAAAATTTTTTTTGTTATACTTAGGATCCTTTAATACATCGAAAAACATATTAAATATGTAATATAATGTAAAATAAACTAAAGAAAAAAAAATAAAAATTTTAAAAATTGACTACAGCCGGGTTAGACGTAAGGGGTCACTGCGACCTCCCTAATCTATCCATAAAAATTTACTTTGATAGAGTGGTTCGGTTCATAGAGGCCTACTTTCGGTCCGAGTTTGAAAATTAAATAGCTGACAGTCTTGCTAAATTTGCATGTCAAAAACTAAAAATTTATTTATACGATACTAGACGTAAAAACTCAACAAAAAACGATATCTTTAAACAAAATTTTTGAAATTTTTTAATTACACACACACACACACACACATATATATATATATATATATATAGAACTCTCGCTACTACGATATCCGATACAACAATAATTCCCTCTATTACGATAAAGTTCCGTGGTCCCGCCAAACTTGCATATGGATTAATGTTATCTTCCTCTCAATATAACGATATTCTCTGAAGCAGTAAACCTCTGTAAAACGATTTTTTTTCAAATTTCAACATTATTTTCTATNTTACACAAACTAAAGACACTATTTGCTCATTTTATTTTAAGAACGGAATTTGAGATTATCCTGTCCAGCTATCACAAAAACTTCTCGAGAAAAAGTCTCATGCTATGGAGATAAAAGTAAACAGAATATATATATATATATATATATATATGTAATATATATATATACCCCACTTTTTAAATTTTCTAAGAACAATACAATCCATGTATATTTACAAATTCAAATCAAACTGTTAGTGATAATATTTATGATGTAATAAATTTATTGCCTTCAGAATGTGCAATTTAAGTGCATTGAAAGTTTTATTTTAAAATTGGAAGAAATGATAGTAAGTAAATAAAATGACGAAAGGCAACGACAGACTTATTACGTCTTGATTCTCCTGTGGAATAAGCCTGCAGCTGGTCTCGAACCCCGGACCACAGGCTCAGCAGACGCCAATGTTTGCCTTAAGCCACTGAGACATCACATTGGATGCTTTCTTTGAAATTTTATGTCGCATGCAGTAATCTATATATATATATTTTTTATGCCAATAGTGCCAACATATGGCGACATTTTGTCATATTTAGTGTGGTAACCCTTTAGTATAAATACTTGACTTTGTTTTGAAAACAATGCCAATTATATTATTATTGTGCTCTGAGTTTCGAAATATTTAGCGACGATTTAGTTTATTGTGATCAGTATCGATTGGTAGTGTGATATAGTAGTATATAGTATAGTGTAGTGCAGTGAATTGTTGTGTTGTTAACATCAGTTTCGATTTATATTGTGAATATCGGGTGAGTAATTGAAAATTTTGTTTTACAATAGATTGCACAAGGGTGCTATATTAAATGCTCTTTAACTACTTTTTTATTAGCAAGAAAATGTACAAATAATAATGCATAAATAACTTTTTTGAACTTTCTTCCCACCATTTTAAAGAGTGAAGTAAATTTTTTTTATTGTTTATATTTACTAATAACTTGTTATATAACTGTTAATAATATAAATACGTAGCTAATAATTTCTGTTAATAATATAATACGTAATAAATTTCTCAACATGTTGTAAATCATCTTAATTTTAAAATACATTTTTAATTACCTGTCCGAGCGTGTGTGTTATTTTTCATTAATATATTAATGCATTTTTTTAGTACTTTAAGTAACGTTTTTTTTTTAAATTAAAATTTCTTTTTTACTGTCAAGTTTTTATTAAACGAAAACTTTGAATTATTTTCAACCAGCTTGGTGCTTAAAATTATTCTTTGCAAAACAGCTCACTATTTACTAAACATACAATTTTTTCGAAAAATAATGATAAATTGTCTTTTTTTATTGTGATTCAAATTTTATTATATTGTTTGTTTTGTTTTTGTAATCAACAAATTCAATTACTATTTTTTCGAAAAATAATGATAAATTGTCGTTTTTTATTGTGATTCAGCTTTTATTATGTTGTTTGCTTTGTTTTTGTAACCATCAAATTCAAGCCTCAATTTTATTTTGACGTTTAATCTTAAATGCTAGAATGTAAACTTTAAGAAAGTTCTTTCTTAAAAATAATATTGAAAAAAGTTTACTCTTAAGAAAATTATTTTTTCAACTTTAGATTGGAGTACGCCTAAAGTATATGTGAAATAAACTCAGGAATCTATAAATAAAATACATTTTCAGACAACTTAGAGAAGAATTCAAAGGCTAACTTGTTTGAAAATTTAATTTTGATTCTTGGTGATAGGGGATATTCTATTTTCACATTCATTTTTTGATATTTCAATTGTAAAAATAATTTTTATGTCTTTTAAAATTTTTTATTTAGGCTAGCTGTAAAAAAAAATTGTCTAAGAACCTATGCCTTTTTTCTTACGTAAAACTTGTTTTAATATCCACCTGATGTAATCTAATATACTGTGTTATTAAATGAATTATCCCAGAAAACTAAATATTAAAAAAAAACTTCATTGGTTTAAAATATAATAGATGATAACAATTTTAGACATGTTTTGATCATTCAAAATCTAGTGTCGCTAGTCATTCTCGCCTGTCAAGTTTTGAGAATGGGAGCTTATATTTGAACGCTCGAAACATATCGACTTTTATTCCCCCTTAATTTTTTTAAGCCAGTGAAGTTTTAATCATCAATTAAACTGTTTCATATATGGGTATTGATCATTATATTGATAAGACTTTTATGTTCTTAAAAGTAAACATATGTATTTTAATATTTCAACTGGATTCACGTGGTCCTTAAAAAGTAAGAGAACCGTGGCATCAATATTGCATTTATGAAGTTATCTTTAACTTTAAAACTAAAATTTTGAGACCATATATTTTGAGTAAATGAAATTTAATATATTAACTTTGAAGTTTTTGGGCCACAATTTCAGTACCTTAAGGAACTTTGTTAATTATTGTAAAATGTATAAAAACTGTAAAATATGTGCATTAGAATAACTACTATAAAATCTTTTTCTTGCACTTTCACGAAACTTTGTATGGAAGACTCGATCGAAGCTATAAAAATGATTATCTCTTAAATTTTGATTATAGTTATAATAAGTTGTGTAAATTTGATTTTAGTATGAAATGCTCGTAAAAATGAATTAAAAACAACATAATAAACTAAAATAATGTCAGATAAACAATACATATATCAAGTTCTAAAAGCTCAAATTCCAAATTTCTATCATTTGAATGAAAGTTATTCAGGGTGATATCTTTTTTCATTGCTCCCTGTATGAATGTGTGAGTATGTACGTGTATATATATGTATATCCATATGTTTTTTGTATGCAAATTTATGTACTCAAAAAAACTGACCTACTTGAATAACGTTTGATTTAAATGAGTTACTTCAAATATTCTAATTAGTGCATAAATTTTTTTTAAAATTCAGACTCAAAAACGTACTTTCTTCGAATAAATATACCCTTTTTTCAATGGATTTGGATTTCTGGCCCCAAATATATAGGGTATCTGGTAAATAGGGTCCTCATAGTTTGGTCAGGAGAGCGATCCAAAGTTTGAACTCCTTAATTTTACTTTTATGTGCTTCACTGCATATCAAACATTTTAATGAATTGAAAATTTTTGAACATAATTGTAAATTTTAGTTATCTAAGGATATTTCATGCGAAATATAACTTTTAGTAAATATTTTATTATTTTGCTCCATAATAGTAAAAAAAAATGTTGGTTATATATTTTTACATCTTATTAAAGAATATAAAATTTTACGTGGCAAAATACGAAATTTGAGCAAAATCATTCGAATAGTTATTGAAGAATTTAAATTTTCGACTTATATTACAGAATATGTAATAAAACCGATTTCTCTCATATTTTGCCATAAGAAATTGCATTCTTTAAAATGATGTCATTTTGATGTCGTAATTTTGTAAATGATGCAAAGTTTTTAAAGTTTTTTTGTTAAATTAAATAATAAGGTACTTAATAAAAACGAAATTATCTTTGGATAAACAAAAGGTATCGCTGTGTGCTGAAAAGAAATTTTAAAATAATAAAATATAATCAGATTATGTGAGGATAATTTAGTATGACAAAGTTCCTCTTTCAGTTATTCGTTTGAATATTGATATTTTTAACTTCATAGTTTACTCACAGTTTCTTAACTTTAAATTTTAAATTAGTTATATAGATGAAAAAAAATTTGCTTGAAGTATAGCATCATTTTCAAATTTGGTTTGACACCAGAATTCACAGGTTTGACGCGGCTTCTATCTCTATTTCAATTTTGTACGTATGAGCAGAATTTTTTGAGCTTTTTTGTTATTTGATTTTTGTGTGTATAGGCTAGAAATGAATAAATTTAATTATAGTTTTGGATGCCATATGAGATGTGTAAAGTCAATGCTTTGGGTGCAAAGTGTCTATCAAACAAAAGTTTTTATTAAACGTAGAGATGTACCGGGTTCTAAAATTTTGTCTGATTCCTGGTGCAAATTAAATCTCTTTACCCGGATGGTTCCAGGCACCACTAAAATTTTTCAACTATAGTTCGTTCACCAGGAGTTGGCACTTGACTTCTCCTTCATCACGTGGTATCCGACAATACTATTTCGCTATTTTTGGGATGTGAACAAGGTTGCTATTTAGTGATCGTATGATAAAAATATATTTATTTGATCTCTCTCTTTTGAGTAAATAGTTTGGCATATTGCTGTAATATATTTAATTAGCTAGACTAGCGAAAGGTATAAAAGCAGATGATAAGACGAAGTAAGTGACTGAAATCGCTGTTTGCGTTTGGCACGAATCAAGCGTTGTCTCTATTTCAAGTGCGGAGAAGTTTCTCCTCCCGTGTAAAAGGAATTCTTCGTCCGAGGAGGTGGAGCCAAGGGCCAACTCCAGTAGAACGAATTAGACATGAGTATTGAAACATTTATGCAAAACAATTTAAAATGTTTCGAATTTTTATCAAGCAAAGATCGTACAAGATATAGTTCACGCAGATTTAATTATCTCCTAACTGTAATAAATGCTTGGTTTTTCTAATTTGTAGACTTTGTTAAAATGTTCTTTTTTAAAGTCTCTGAAGAAAGTTGACTATTTAAATGTAGAACGATAAACGTAAAACTTTGCTATGAAAAGGAGACATCTGCTAATTGTAGACTTCATAATAAATCGAATTTTTCTATAGAATTTATAAGCACAATTTCGTTAAACGTAGGTTTTAACTGTTTTAAAAAAAAGATATAGAAAATGAAAAATGTTTTAATTATCAGGGTTAAATCATTCAAAACCTGAACTTAACTTACCGGAAGTGATTGGATTGATTTAAATAAAATCGTGTAGTGTTTTTCTATATTTACCAATGTTGGACAAAAAAGCGATTTTGTTGTCCTTAGTAATTTTAGTAATTTAGTAATTTTTAACCTTCAATTAAGTAATTTTTTTTAATTTAGTAATTTTTAACAATTCAGTAATTAAGTAATTTTTAACCTTCAAAAGATAAAGTAATTTACATTATAACTAGTATGAAGCAAATTTTCTAGTAAAATGTGAATTTCCGATGATTAATTTTATTCATGCATGCTTCTTTTCAATATTCAACGTAAAACAAATCGTATTAAAAATCAGACGATACGTTTCAAACTGAAATGTTATCTGAGTTATGTAAAAATATTTTGTTTTTAAAAATATGTAAATTTTTGGTAAAACAATTCTCTCAGTTTTGACACATGCTTTTATTTACTAGAAAATTAATTTTTAATTTTAATAATAGCATCACAATTATCAGTGTGGTGTTTGTAAGAAAATACTCATATTTTGTTAGTAACTGTTAAATTATACTTTCATGAAATGTTAATTCTGCAAACCCAAAAAATAAAAACATATGGAATTTACTAATTAGCTAAAAGCTTGTTTAGTATAAGATTTAAACATATTGTATTTCATTTTACAACTGTTGTTGAACAGCAGACCCAATACTTTGAGTTTATAACTACCAATGTTCAACTCCGTTGCCTTGTAATTTTGAACCCTATCCAGAAGACAAGGGAACTCCTGGATCAAGTATTGGAAGAAATTTGCCTGAAGTACTTTTTGATGGAGCTAGCCGGCTTTTGCGCTACAAAGAGAGGAAAACCACGAAAATCTAGTCAATCTTGTCAATCTAGTCAATCTAGTCAATCTTGTATCTAGTCAATGTTATTTGGAGATTTTATTTAGAAGAATAATTTTAATCTCAATTTTACTTGTCTTATTTTTAGAGAAGTTGATAATGGAGAAGAAGGTTAAAAAATCACCCATCAAGAACGTGGAGGAACGAAGAGAGGAAAGACGTGAGGAAAGGCTAGTGGATTTTTTATTATTCATTTTGAAGAAACTTTAAACAATTTTATTTAGGTGACCATTATTAATAGTATTTTTGTATTGACTTTAAAGTTAATGCTTCAAAAATTTGCGTGGAGCAGAGTGAACCTCTTAAATATAATTCTTTGTAATTCACTCATTTATCGATTTGATTTGTTTGATACACATTGATATTCGTTCACAAAATAAGTTTAACAATTTTTTAAGTTAAAAAGAAGAAAACCAACGAAAAGAAAAAAATTGATAAGTACATGTTCGATTAATAAGTAAATTCTAATTTGTTAATTCGATAATTAATTTTTAAATGATCAATAATTTTGTAATAATCATTTTCAATTAATTATGTTTATTAAATAATTTAGTTACCAATAAATATTTCATTGAAAAGAAATTAATTGTTTATTATTAAGTAATTAAATAATTTTTGATTATTAATAATTAAATATTTAGTAATTACTAAATAATTAACAACTAAACAATAAGTTAATTAATGATCGATAATTATTCTTTTAAATGTTCATTCTTGATTAATTATTTAACATGTTAAGTTATCAATTCATTTACTTCTCAGCATATTTAATTTTGAGCTGTGACGTCAGTCACTATGCGAATGTTTTCTTTTCTTTTTTTTCTCAATTGAATTTGGTTTCAAGTTAAATTCAGCAAAAAACACATTTTATTATTCATCTAATGCTTTAATCAAAGCATTTATATTTCGGGGCTGTATTTCTTACAGGAAAGAGGAGAGAAAACAAGCTCGGCAATCAATGCTGTCACAAATGAAAGATGAGGTAGCTGCGGCTAATCAAGCCCAAGCGGATGCTGTTGATCTCAACCAGGCTATGGTGCTAGTAAGTGCATTTTGAAATGCTGTTTCAATTGTCTTGTTATATTTCTTAACCATTTCTTATTATTCCCTGAAAAATATAGTTGTAGTTAGTATAGTTTTCTTGAATGTAGTTGCCTGCTTACTCCACTGCACTTCAGCTTTCGTGGATTCAACACACAGTTAGAGATTCCCCAGTCTTACTCTAAGTCTTATCGAAACAGGGCCGCCATTGGGGGAAATCCTTATTGTATCTTAAAGTTTTCTTTCGTAAACGAATAATATGCTGGACTAAAAACACTCCATGCAATTTTACTGACTGATAAATTAAGTTAGAAAAAGGTTATTTATACAGACGCCATAAATTAAAGCAGCAACAGGACGCTCGTATGATAAGTTTTCTTGACTAGTAAAGTGTAATCCAGTGTGTGCGGTCTAAAAAATGTTTTTTTTTCCATCCCGGTCGAAGTACCCGGCCTTACCCTATTCTCCCTTACTTTTAATTAAAAAATTTTCTTTTAAAAAATTGATTGCAGAGATTAAGTTATTTAGTCGAGAAAAACCAAATCAGAAAGCTGTGGTGGCTCAGGAGACGGAGCGCTCGCCTCCCCAATGAGGTGAACCTGGTTCGAATCCCAGCGAAGGCTAATTCATACGAATTCCGCATACACTTCGCACCGACCACAGTGCTGACGTAAAATATCCTCAGTGGTAGACGGGTAATGGGTTAATCCTTTTGTCTTCGGGCTAACCGTTAGAGGCCGTGGTTTTTCTTTCCAAGTAACGCATAGACTGATTAGTTCCATCAAAAAGTTCTCCACAAATGCAAATTTCTCAAAATGCTTCATCCAGGATTTCCTGGTCTAAAAATTTTAAACCTTATTATTCGAAGTTTGTTCGACTATTCATAAATAAACTAATAAATACTTACTAAAACTTTTTTTTTGCATGGAGTTTTCTTAGGAAAAACGAATTATATACTTGTATGCAAATCAGTTTCAATTCACTTAAAAAAAATTCTACGAAAGACGCAGAAAGTAAAATTACCATTTAGCAGAACAAATTTCGACCTTTCTCCTGACCAAACTATTGGGTTTATATTTTTCATATGGCGTCAACTCCTAAATTTTGGTGATCAAAAATCCAAATCCGCCAAAAGAAAGACATGTTTATTCAGAGAAAGTGCGATTTTTGTGTCTGATTTCATATTTTAAAATATTATTTACAACAATTAATAGACATATTTGAAATCCTCTCCTCAAGCCATTAAGATTGAGTCCTAAAACTTGAAAAATCAGATAATTGGGGAAAGAAAATATTTTTTTTTCTCTCAGTGCTTGTGCACACTTCACATAAGCAATAAAACATTTAAGATTATTAAAAAGCTTGCGTAAACTCTCACTGAATTATCTGCTAGTAGAACTATGCTATTCTTGAAATAATTCAAAAATATTTTGAGATATATATGAAATACAATCTTGTTTTTCACACCCAAAGCTAATCGAATGTTGAAATTACAGATCAATTTTCTACCAGTTTCATTAGCTTTTATAGGCATGCAGCAAATACTAATCGGATGCAAATTTTTCAGAATATTTCAGATCTCAAATAATTTTTGTTTTTAAACAAATAGAACGGAATGTAATGCACTTACTGTCATCTTAAGGAAATTTTTCCTTATTTAAAAACAAATCTCTGATTCCCTTCAACAATTGTAAACTATGTGTTCTCTAACATTTGAGATTTATTGTGATATTTAATTATTTACATTGTTATATAGTAATACTTTTATTTTTTAAAATTTTCTTTATTAAATATTGAACAAAGAAAAGATTTTTTGTTTAATTTTTTCACTATAGCAGCTTTTATCGAAATGCAGGATTAAGTTTTGCAATTAAATTTTAAAGTTTGTAAATTAGCTAAGCTGCGAAGTACTTAAAAGTTAAACGAAGATAAATCAAATTCTCTTATGAATATAATCTTATTGAGCTTAGATTATTGGTTTGATAGGTCATTTTTCTACACGATAATTATCTTACACTATTTTGTCAGGGCCTGAATGTAGCATGATCTGAGAAGCATTTGCCCAGGACCCCTAAATATTAGTTTTTAAAATAGACTTCAACTTAAGGTTTAAATTTTACACTTTATTCAAATTTGTGATTTGCGATTCATTAAATTTTTACAATATTCTAGTTTTTACGCATTCTGGTAACTTGTGGAATTTTCGGTTAAATTTAAATTAATGTAAATTTCAATGTTATGTAAAATCTTGTTGTCCCTTTATAGGAAGATCTTAGCACTGATGATGCTGATGAAGAAATGCAAGATCTAAGCTTGAATAAGTAAGTTTATGCTAGACTAAATGCACAAATTAAAGCATCAGTTCATTCCTTTTTTTACACTAATTAATCTTTGTACAGCTTTTATAAATGATATTCTTTATTTCATCAAGAGTTCTTAAGGTAAAAAACAGATTCATCGTTTGATTTATGCATCTTTCAGCTCTATTCCGTTTAACGCAACTTAACTCATTTTAGAGTACTTATATTAGTTTATAAAAGTTTAACATCTCCTCCACATGAAGATTTAAGCTCCAGTATTTCGTGATTTAGGGCATCATTCTAGCAATGTGGTCAGTCAGCATTGCGCTCAGGCAATCATTACTCCCAAGTCAAGTTGAAACCCAGCACTGCTCTACATAAGGTGTCTATTTCCATAACACTAATTGTACTTATTATCACAATTAACTAAGCACAATAATACTTTTTTCAATTTTATGCTCTCCCTTCACACCCAGTACATACATTTCTCTTAAAACTTTTTAAAAATCAAAGAGAAAAGTTCGAAAATGGAGGAAAAAAAAGCATTAAATCAGAATTTTTGAACTTCATTGAGATTTTAATAATTGAGTGACGTCATTTGATATAAGTAGAATAAGAAATTGACAATTCCAAAAATTCACTTAAATAATGTAGACATTAAATCAAATAATGAATTAAAGAATTCCAGGATTGAAAGAAGCAGGTTGTGATTGAAAAATCATGAATACAGATTTCTTTTGATAGTGTGAAATAAAAATATGGGCATTGTTATTTTAATTTCGTATGAAAAATCTACGGTTTAAAATGAATTAGTAACTTTGCCATTTATAAGTAACTTGCATATTTACCCTGAAATTAAACTAATATATCATTCTTTATTTTTCAGTGTTCCAATCATCAACGTTAGCGATGAATCACCGGAGGCTGCTACTGGAACATCAGCACAGGGGTCTGAAGATTCACAGGTGAAGACCTTTTTACCTAACGGGTCATTTCGTCTAGGCGAACATGTTTCCAAATTTCAAGCCTAGTTTTCATGGCGAACAATAAAGTATCAAGATTCCCTTAATTTTTAATTTATTAAATAAGACTTTTTTAATCAAAGAGTTTTAAGAAGCCACTTAAACACTTCAAGCTTTGTTTGGACAAAATTTGCTTGCCATATAGGCAAAGTTTTGAAGGGGAAAAATTATTCCCATTATCGTGCTGTCTCAACCAAATTTGGTGGTCTTTCTATTATTAGACTCTAGTTTAAGAGTATAAACGCCCTGTTCATTTACACAAAATAGTTTTATTTGTTAAAAATATTGTAACTAATTAAAGGTTGGTAATACTCATTTCAATATTTTAGTTTTTATAGCATCCTTTAAAAAAATATTATAGTTGGAATTCTCTGTTTTAGTTTTATGGTTGCACATTTAACAACTAAAGTTTTTATTTTTAAATTTTTTAATATTGATGGATCAATTCGATTAGCAAAGAATGAAAGCTTTTTTTTTCTTATCTTTTTAAGACTAATATGAAGAAGCGTTGAGCTTTTCAATTACATGAGAATGTAATAATATAATTAATTTATATTGTTATTATCATTATTTACATTATTATTAATTATATAATAATTAATGATAAGGTAAAATGTAATAATACTTTAAACATAATCTATGTAAAATATAATAGAGTAAAAATAATGTGTTATGATCAGGTCATTAAAAAGTGTTTCCACATTCTAATGTTCCTTTGACTTAAAAAAAGTTGAACAAAGATGTTCAAGATTTTAAAAGATATTCGAGCTTGTTACAAATACACGCAAAAGTAGATACAAGTTTCTGACGAAAAACTAAATTTAACTTTTTGCTAGTCCAACTGCATCTGGCCCTACATATTGCTGAATTTGTTATAAATTTTTATTTTATAACCGTCGTTGAACAGCCTATCCAATTTTGAGTTTACGGCTACCAATGTTCAACTCCTTAGTCTTGTAATTTTGATCCAATCTAGAAGACAAGGAAACTTCTGGATCAGTACCCCCAGAGACATGATTTGTTATGGGAACATGGAGGATTTTATGATATGACTGATTCAACGTGCACCAGTCATCATTTACTACACGGGGAGTCTTCGGCCGGTGGAGATCAAACCCACGACCTCTTGGACAAGGGCCTAGTTATTTTTGTTTCAGTTAAAGTTATCCTTTTTTATTTCAAAATAGTTTGACCAGAAGAAGAAAAAATCATTGTAAAATTCGTACTCTCTAAAATATGCTTGTTAAAACAGGTTTAAAAGTATGAAATTTTTGAAGTTTGGTAGAGTTACTACACGCAATTATTTGCACTACGTTCAGTAGGTGAGGATACACATAACTGTTTTATAACCGTCGTTGACCCAATTTTATGGATTTACGACTATTAATGTTCAACTCCGTAGCCTTGTAATTTTGAACCCTATCCAGAAGACAAGGCAACTCATGGATCGAGTATTGGGAGAAATTTGCCTCCGTGGAGGATTTTTTGAATGAGCTAACCCGCATTTGCGTTACATGGAGAGGAAGACCACGAGAACCTAAGTTTAGCCAGACGGCAAGGGGAATCTCACCCATGCTCCGTCTACCACTGAGGATATTTCACGTCAGGACTGTGGTCAGTGCAAGCCGGAAGCAGAATTCGTATCGACTAGGAATCGAACCCGGTTCGCGTCATTGGAAGGCGAACGCTGTATCCCCTGAGCCATCGCGGCTTTGAAGGATCCTGATTTTTTGTACCATATTGAGAGTGGGAAGGTTATTTACAGTACCTTCAGAAGTATAAACACTTTTTTTTTCGATCGCCTTTTTGACCTGTAAGTAATCGTCATCTCTAACGTAATCGATAGAAAAGAAAAAAAGCGCAAATTTTCATTATAATTTTTTTGTTTATGAAATGTTGTCATCAAAGAGTTAAATATATGAACAAATAACTTGCATGCAACTTTCATAGTCGAAAGTAAGCCTTTATCTTTAAAAAAGCAATATTGTTTTGTTAATTTAATGAAGACAGTTTTAAATAAAGTGGATTTTCTATGTATCAATATTTATTAAAATTAAGAGAATGGTTTCATTCTTTCCTTGTTTGTAAAACAAGGGTTAACATTCGGGAAGCATGACTAGGGAGAGGAAACGCGCGAAGCAAACTTAAACATTGCTACCTTGACAAGTGAGGTATTATTTCTGAATTATTCTTTTTCGCAAAATCAAATGAAATCAATCGTTTGAAATAAAGGTTCAGAAGCTATTTAGGTTTTAATTATAAAAAAAAAACTTATTCCTATTCACAAGTCTAACAGAGTTATCTAGACAAGTGAGATTTCGTTTCTTATTTATTTTCTATTACTGAATCAAACACTATACTTTTCTTATTCTGAATAAAAAATTAAAGCGAAACACTGTGGAAATTTTTTCATTTTCTTAATGGTTTCGTGTGTACAAAGAACAATTTTTTATTATGAATGCGTCTGATACTAGATCAGTAAAATTTTCAGATGCAACGCTGAAAACAAATCAAAATTTAGTCAATTGAACAAATAGTCTATGAAAGTATAATGTTCTTATAGTATGTGTTAATTTAGAAAAAATCGTGTATAGAAAATTTAATTCTATTCATTATACACTTTTTGCATCGTGCTTTTTTTTTTCTCATTTCAAGAACTCAATGAATGAGAGGAAATCTCAAAATTTTCATTTTTAAAGGCTTTTAAAAAATATTTACTTTTTTAAAGCTCTAAAAACTAGAAACATTGTATGTAATTTCAAGTTAATACAGAATCGAACGTTTCTTTGAAGGGTATAGTTAAATCTAAAATCCTATAATTGTTCACTGCTCACACCAAGATCAGATGCCTTTACTCCATTCATGAGTTATATCTGCTAATTTTGGTGTATGTTTTGAAACAGTTGGACGACATTATTTACAATTGGGCTGAGAAGGTGCACGTTTATTTTCGCCTTACACAATGCTGAACATTTCACAGAAACAGAAATTAACTGTTTTAAAAAGGCATGTATTTAGCTTAAGAAAGATAATTACGTTCTTATAAAAAAAATTTATCAATATAAATGTACAAAATAGTTTTAAATTATTTCATTTCTTCGTTTCAGTTAAACCCTGTTCGAATTCGTATTTTCTCTGCGTTGTGAGTACGCTTGATTAACAGGCTAATTTTATTTTAAGAAATATTGTATGTACGCATCTCAAATGAATGAATTTTGCTGCATGGTAAAAAATAGTTTTACTCTCTCTTATGTGGATCATATCTTACTGTAATTACGAATTTTAGTGTTACTGAATAATAGAAAAGGATACTTTATGGCATAAAAGAACATTCTTCCTGGTATCATGAGGCACCGAGAGTGACCTATGGTGTTCAAGTATACTGTTAAGAAAAAGTAGTTGTGCCATCATTTTTGATGTTGAGACAAACTAACGGGGAGGCAGTCACACTTTTTTTTCTACTTTTGATGTTATAGAGTAGTTATAGTTTCCTTTATAATCTTACAGTTTTATTTATTTCTTCCATCTTTTTTTAGTTTTATTGACAGCACATGTTTTCATGCGCATTAAAATCAATTTAATAACTTTATTTCAAAAATTTATCGTTTAAAAAAACAAGCACGTTTTTAGTGATGTATTTGCACTAGTTTAGTCATGTAATTTTCTGATGTAGTTAGTCATGTAGTTTTCTGATGTAGTCAGTCATGTAGTTTTCTGAACGACAACTAAAGTTTGGGGCTTCTAAATATATTAGCAACTAAAACTTAAAGCTGTTAAAAATATCTTCTCAATTATAAAATTGTTACGAAATAGCTTGTTCGTGTGAGATACTTAATTTTTTGCAAGATTCGAGCGGAAGTTAGAGCATATTTTGTAAATTTGCTTCAATAAGTACCTAAAACCCTTATGTTTTAAAAATGACATAATTAACTTTGTAAGACATTATGAAAAAGTTTAATCTTTCTTTTTTAGTTAATTTATAAACATGTAATTATTTTGAATTTGGTGAAGAAGAAAAAGAACTGAATGCTTTCTTTTATAATTTTCGCATTTCTCTTGCAGGCAAATCCTGGTGCTAGCGGATCATCCGCACAACAGTAAGTACATTTTTTTTTCAATTTTTATGTTGCACTTTATTATCAATTTCCTTTATATTTTATAATTTTCAATACCCTTTTTCATAGTCAATGTCGCTTTTTGTTTAGAAACTTGCCACACGATTACAGTTAAAGCAAGCTAAGTAAAAAAATGCAAATTTCAAATTAAAATTTCAGTTTTTCTAGTTGGTAATTGTTTTTGAAAATTGAAGCGCTTTTTTTTTCATTTCACTGCTTTTTAAAAGACTGGGGAAAATAAGACAATTGGTACGATCGCATTTTCATAATTTTTTTATTTAGATGAGAGAATAGTTATTTGAATATTTACCAAAGCTTTTTAGTTATACATGACAACTAAATTACCCCGTGTGAAATATGGACATTATCTTTTGGAAAATCATTGAATTTATTTTAGAATTTATGTGTCATTTGTATTTAAGAATTACAAGTAATGTGGAGTAACAGTTACCAATATCTTTTTTTCATCCTCTGTGAGCATTTTTCTACAGTTAGCATAATAGCGTATTAATTCTCTGTTCCAATTATGAGACATTGAGTTTTAGAATGGATTCCTATTAATTGGTATCAAACAACATTTTTATTAAAAAATTTCGGTCGAGGATTTCTACGAAATGTTAATGACATTGAATTGTAAAATAATGAGTAAATATTAAAATGCCCTATTTGACTTTTTTTAAAGGGAAATAAAGATTTTTGTCGCTATAAAATGAATTTAATTGGTAAAAAAATATATACTTTTTTCAATTTTACAACTTTGGTTAATTTGTAAAAGTGATAATTTTTCTCTCTTTTAAACATAAGAATTACTCTATCATCCAGTAATTGATAACTGTATTCGGAAGTCGCTCAAGCTTTTATGGTGGAGGTAAAATCATTGCAGTTTTTTTTGTTAAAAACAATTTTTAAATTTATTAATATTTAACTATAGGATTCATCCCATATTTTAACTCAACCTCCTAAATCATCTTCCCCCATGCAGTTTCAGCAAACTTTTATTGGGTAAAGTAACAGAAAAATTATTACAATCTGAAATTAATCATTGTCTGAAGGAATCAAAAATTTCCCCTATCATGAATGAGAAAGGCCATTGTAGTAATTTCTGGAACAGTTGAGCTTCTTACGATTCGAGGAAATTTAGATTTTTTTCTTCTTTCAAATTGATGCTTAATTTAGGAAATATTATTAGAAAATACATCATAGCCATGATAATAAAACATGAGGATGTTTCTTTTGTAAGGACGAAGAGATTCCTTTAGGATGACGAATTTTTTAATGATTATAAGACTTGGGCTGGGGGTTGAATCCCCTCTTTTCTAACACACAGATTTAGTGATTGAATTGTTCCCAACGGACAGTTAGGGGCGTGAGAAGAAATCCAATGCATTGCTGGAAATTTATCGAAAGATAAAATAACCAACTAAGTCAATTCCACGTTATTCATATTAAAGTTGAAGTAATTTCTCTCAATCACCATAAAGATCCTGAGAATTAATATAACTGAAACATTTTTTTGGCAAGAGAAATTTCAAAGAGTTAAAAATAGATTTTGATGTTTGATCGCGAGTTATGCATTGGGTATTGAATCAAAAAGTTAGCAGTTACATGGATTGTTAAGAAAAAAATAAAATATTGATATTAATTTTTTTTGAATTTAATAAAAATTAAATAATCGATTTCAATTTAAAATTGGATTAAGAACTGTTAAAAATGTATGAAATTAAAGAAATTTTAAAAGTTGAGAAATAAGTAATGCCCATCCCAATAATGGTTAGCTTTCATTTAATGTAATGTAAAATTCCATTTAATTTAATGTAAAATTCAATAAATGCTATATTATTTATTCTTTGCAGTAGGTTGACAGTCAAAGATTGTGTTGATATTGACGTCATTTTTCGAGATTACAGGCGCAGAAGTAATAGCGCGCCAGTGGTAAGCAATATTTTCTATTTGAAATGTGGAATGTTAAAAATATAAGAATGAATACCTTTTTTGCAACACAATATTTTAGCTAAATTCTATTTTATGGATTTTCTTTAAGGAGAAGAATAACTAAATTCATTCAATTTTACCCAGATAGATGAAATTGATATTCAGTAATGCATTAATATATTGAGCTTTGTAATAGTACGAAAAAGAGATTGTTTGTTATCAAACAAATGAAAACATTGTCTTCTTTCTGAAAGCAATAGCGAAGTTAGCTGTACTATATAAATGGAATGGCTAAATAAATGCTGCATTTGTTTTTAGTAGGTTATGAAAATTTAAAAAAGGAAGTTACAAATTACTATTAAATGAATTTCATAGATTTGTTGACCCAATTTAAATTTTTTCATGCAGTTTTTAAAACATTCCATACTTAGGAATTTTCATGATTACTCTATTACAATTTACCACTAAGGTGTTATTATTTGAAGCAGCAACGGATTTTTCCCTAGAATTTCAGTTCCGTTATAGAGAAGAAAAATGAGTCTTTCCTGTTATAGAGAGGATTCAGTTATGTTACTCATCCGACTTTTCATGTCAATGCTTTTTGAATCATATTAAAATTTATATTATTCTAAGTTCATTTTTCCGTTAAAAAAAGTCGCGTGAAGGACTGACCATAAGACTATTCCGGGAGATCAGTGATTTGCGGCAGTTAAGAATGAGTGGTTGGGTGACCACTTTGATCAGTCCGTGAAGTGGCCGAGAGTGCGCGGTATCTGTCTTCGTTAAACTGTTCTAATGACAAGCGGGACCAAGAGTTGTTCAAAAGACTTGAGGACCAAGAGATGTCCAAAAAAGAGAGGTCCATCTCTTCTTCGGAAGATAAAATTTATGATGGCAAGTCTTCAGGTCAGCTCCCGACCCTTGCAAATATCCCTTTGTGCAGCTGTAATGTGACGTAAAAAATTATTACTATAATATCAAAAAAAAAATAATTTTTTTTTCCTCTGGCGAGTTTTGAAAAGGGGATATTTCTTTGGCTACATCCAATTTCGTGGTATTTCTACTCTTACATAGCTCTATCAATAAGTTTTCAACATTCTTTTTGTATTTTGTAGAGACCAGAACATCGCAGGTCTTCAATTATAGTAAAGAGATATCCTGATGAGAAGTCACCAGGGAGAGAACCTTCCCCAAAGTAAATATGACATTTGTTTAATTTTCTTGGGATCAATATTTTCAAGGTCTAAATTTTTTTTACTGTATTTGCTAAATCAGTAAAAATTATTTTTATATAGTGTTATTTTTTAAATTTATTACAGCACATTGTTTTACGTAAGGTTTACTTTCAAAACATAACGTAAAACGTTTNAAATTTTTTTTACTGTATTTGCTAAATCAGTAAAAATTATTTTTATATAGTGTTTTTTTTAAAATTTATTACAGCACATTGTTTTACGTAAGGTTTACTTTCAAAACATAACGTAAAACGTTTTTCTTTTATGTTTTAAACAACTATTTCATTTTATTGATGATCGTACTGTAGTGTGATTAGAATATTGATATTGTTGTGAGATAAGAATCTTAATAGAGGTTTTCTCGAATTAAATATTGGAAGCAAAGTAGAGTTAAAAAAATTTTTCGTAACCGCTCCAATTATTCAACAGATTCTTTTGTTTCCTATATTTTTTAAAGGGGGGAGACAACTACAAATTGTTCTGCGGAAAAAAATTAGACTTAAGAAAATACATTCTCCGTCAAGCTTGAGAATTGATGCTCTCTCTGGTAACAGGAAAAGCCGCTGGAAAAAAAAGCAGCTTAAAACAAAAAAAAAAATTTGAAAAAAAAAAAACATTTAAAATCATTGCTATACGAAATTGAGCTTGTGTGAAAGTTTAGGAATTATTTAATTATCGATTAATTACTTTTTAAAATGAATTAATATACAAGAATAAATTTGAGTTTTGTAGTAAGAAACCTAGCACATTTCATATTTAATACTTTCATTTCATATATCGAACTTCAAAATTTTCTGTTTCCAGTAATTGCCCTAATCATATGTAATATGATAATCACAATGACAATCTTTTTTTAAAAGGAAAATTGCATAATATAATGACGTATTTTATCATTTTTGTAAATATTTTGAAATCATATGAATAACATACTGTGAGATTATTGCTAATTGATATATAATATAGCATCATACGAGGTAATTAAAAAAAAAAACTCAAGTTCTTTTAACTTCTTTCCGCACACTTCAGATTAATCCTGTATATAAATTGGTTTCTTAAAAAGTATTTTATTTAACGTAATTAAACATTTATTTAAATGTAACTTAGTAACTGATTCGAATGGGTCGTTCTATTGATATAGTTTTTAAAGAGAATCTTGATTTAGTGGGTCAGTTTTGCATTATGATTCTTGTGTTCTTAAAATATAACGTTTTATGAAATATCTCTATCCATGAATTCAATTGAGATCGTTCGGATATGGATAATAGTAATTAGCTAAAAAAATTGTTAATAAAAATTTTATATGCATTTTTGTTTGCGGAGAATCACATATTTGAACTCTTATTGGTTCAATGGAAACAACTCTTAGTTTTACTTAAAGCTTTTTTACAAAACTTTATCAAACTGATTTTGTCCGTAAGAACAACTCATCATTTATATATCTTTCAGTATTATTCATAATACAGTCAAACTCCGCTATAGTAAATACTGTTTATAGTGAACTCTAGGATATACCGATTTTTAAAACCATTTATACCATGGAATGTGGCAGTATGCATTTTTTCTTGTTTGCTTCATTATTGAATTGGTTCAGCATTCAAAGAAGCCGCAATCTTCCAGTATCTGGACAAATGTCGATGAATTTGCTAAGCGATTTTATGAGATTACTTTTATGTGCTTGCTCGAATGGCAGATTAGACAAGTTTAAAAAGTGGACTAACAGAAATTCAGGAAAAATTATCTGAGAGTCGGGAAATGCTTCCATATCTGATGTGGAGGATTGCTCATCAGCCGAAGATTACTAATTCTTTTTTTTCCCTTTTTTTGTATTCAAGACGAAGAGTAATAAAAAATAAAAGTTAACACATTTTTGTTGCTACGAATAATTTTCGTCATTTTTGTATTGCATTTTTTTTAATTATTTATATAAATAATATATAATAAAAAGGGGAAGTTTGAAACCATTAATAAAAATTGGTTGTAGATTAGATATAGTGACATCCCGGTAATACTGAACTGAAATTTCTGTCTCTTAAAGTTTCACTATAGTGGGGTTTAACTGTATAAGAAAATTTATTTTTAAATTCTTCTCTTTTTCTATTTTAGGACTGTTGACTTTGTGCCGCACAATTGCTCCCGCGTTGACGAGGAGAATTCTGTAAGAAAACAATATTTTGTATATCTTTTTTTTTATGCATTATAACATAAATTTATTTAAATAACATTTCTCATATATTTTATTGATACAATGGATGATGATGGTATACAGCAAAGTAATGCTTTATGTACAGTGTCCTAAAAATAATAAATCAGCCTAAATTACTTTTGATTTAGTAATTAGCTTTTTTAGTACTTTAACTTGATCTTAATTCCTTAAAAAATAACTTAAAAAAGTCAGATATTTTAAATTCACTTTTTCGGGAACTATTTGACCGATTTCGCACAAATTTTGTATTTTGCGACATAATTACATTCTTTGAAATTTTGTGTATATTTTGATATTTAAAAGTTCTTTGAAATATAAAATAAAATAAAAATAAAATAAAAGTAATAAATATATAACAAATATATTTAGCATATGTTTCCGAATCTGAGCCAATTCGTGTTGATGTCGACGGAATTCCCCCTAAAATTAAAGACTAATATAAATAAGGTATGATGTTGGAAATGAATGCTCTCGCAGTGGGTAAGAGAAGCGAATATTTAATTAGTTCTTTTAAAAGATAACTAACAATATGAATAGAAGTGGGGATCACTATGAAGACTCAAGTAAAGATGATAACATCGGAATATCCAGACATTAAAATGACTGAACAGGAATTAACGGATATACTGAATTTATCGGATGTTATTTAATTCCTTTTGTTTGTATATTGTCATTCCCCTAAACAAAGCTGAGCTGAAAAACATACCTTGCAATTTTCCTTCTTCTAATTTTAAACTTTTTAGGAATTCCGTTTTCAAAGATCTAGTTTTGTAAGTATTTTTCGTAATATTCACTGATTATCGCTAAACAGAATATTTCTGTTTAAGATGTCCGTTTATAAGAAGAGATTTCTTTCGGTTTATGTTCGGAAATATGCAGCATTAAAAGTAACTTTTTGCACTCTTTTGGTTTAAAAAAAAATTCATAATTGAGGGTGAAAAATTTTCTATTCATTCAAAAAGCTCTATATGAGGGGAAATTCGAAATAACTAACATTAAGTGGTTCAAACTTAGAAGCACTCTTCTGACTAAACTATCTCTCAGATTGCGCTTACCAGTTATATTTTGCTAGTCAGAAATCCTCTGTAAAAAGGTGTTTTTGTTCAGAGAAAGTACGTTTTAGTGTCTGATTTTGTAATTTAAAATATCGTCGGTACTAATTAATTAGCATACTTGAAACCCCCCCCTTGAACCATTAAGATTGAGTACGTGAAAATCCGATCAAAAATTATTCACGGCGTTCCGTATTTTTTTCCGCACTACGAATTTGAAAATTTTTCAAAACTTAATTCGAAGTTTAGAGTTGGTGAAAATGTTTTTCAAAAAGAGTTATAAAAATTATTTATATGCAGCTCAGAGGAAGAAAAATGAATATTTTCTTTAGAGGTCTACTCAATAGCAACATCATATTGTGAACATTCTTGTTCGTATATATGAAAACGCTGTTTTTCAAAGTTTCTGTTATAGCAAAAAATTATACTTTTTTTTTGCGAATAATATGCTAGTTTGTAACCCCTGAATGTTTGTCCAATTTTTAGCTTTTATGCTAATTCTGAAAATAGGCGCAAAATCTCAGTAGGGAGAAAAGACGAAGTTTTGAGAAAATGATAAACATTTGTGATCTAATTTCATAATATTTGAAAACTTACTCAAATTCTGCATTATCTGGGCCCATAATAGTTTGTAAAAAATAAAAATAAAACATTGTTTTCTATAATTTTGATCTTTGTGGAAAAATTTCACCAAAGGGAGTTTAATACTTTTTCAAAAAGAGTTTAATACTTTTTAAGATATTTAAGCTATTTTTCTGTTCTAAAGCCCAGATAATTCTTCACAGCAAAGATGGAATATATAGTTTAAAATTTTAGCTTTACTTCAAGTGTAAGGATCTTAAACTCTGGATTTTTTTTTACTTCCATTGGTGCTTTGAAAAACTATGTTTAAGGGTAATATAAAGTCTTAATTACAAGCAATACTTTTTTAAGCAATGGATTCAAAACTGTAATTTATTTCCAAGAATCCCAATTAATGTTATCTGCTGCTTATAAAGCGAAATATTTCAATAAAAAAGTTTCAAAACGTGTTAGGTTCAAAACCAGACTCTGGCATTTCAATTCGAGTAGATAAAGGGAGTCGAATAAAGGATCCCAGTAGGAACTCAAACGATAGTTTTCTTTTTCGAAAAAAAGAAAACTAATTAAAAATATTACGTATGAGGGAATCATAGATATTTTGTTTATGTTCAACGATTTTTCCGGAATAATATCGAGACATGATAATTATGTATTTAAGCTAGGTAAAATGCTGCTAAAACTTTAGTTTTATTTTTTAATTAGATAACAATCGTTGTAGCAAAGTTTTAGTAAACTGTTCTCATTGTCACAACATACTTAATAGATACGTGACAGATATTTTTTTATTAACTTTAAATATTGTCTGTCTTTTGAAAAAAAAACATAAAATAAAAAAATATATAAAACTTAAATTTAGACGAAAAAATTTCAGAGCATTCCTTAAATTCAAGAAAGCTATGTATAAAGGATTTTTTTAAACTTAAATAGATTAGGAAAGTTTGTTTCGAGGCAACAGAAAAAGGCAACTTTGCGAAAGTATTCGGCCACGAAAAGAATAAGATCGAGAGCATCGTTAGAAGGATTCAGTTGGCAGATCCTGAAGTCCTAAATAACAAGCGAAAATTCTCACGAAAAAATCGTTATTTTATTAGTCTTTTAGACAGACTTCGTTCATGGAAACCTTTGATGTACTTACTAAGTTTACTTCGTATTGTTTTAGAACAAAGTTCACTTAAACTAATAAATATAACTTTATTTGCTTGAGATGAAAAAAGAAAAAAAATTGTATTTATCATTATTTATTTTTTATGCTTTCAAATTTTATGTATGACTTCCTAAGTAAGATTCTACTTTGTTTTCTCTTTTAGTCCTTATTAGAAGAGATATCTGGCTTGAAAGATTCGCTATCTATCACCGAGTCTCAAAACGTAAGAATTTTTTATTGCTTCTTGAAACTAGAAACTTTGTTAACTGCCAGGACTAAAGTATTCGGACACTCCAACTAAGTCATTATTTCGTGGTGCTGGTGTTTCTAATGCCACTTGCCAATACCAGCAAGCCTGCTTGATGAAACCAAGTGAATTTGAGACAGTTGTGGAATTTCTTGCTTTTCAGTGGCGCCATCTATGACCGAGAATACGACTTCAGCCACACACACAGCCTGGTTTAGAAGGCTTCATCCACAGAGCGTAATTTTGACCTGAACCAGAGAGGGAGCAATCTCCAATTCATTTGTCATATAAACTTGTAGACGATTTACCATCAACCAGGCTATTTTTAGTGGTATACTATTTCGTGGTTCGGCCACTGATATTATTTGTTAACTGAATGGAACAATGTAAGCCTATTTCTCTTAAAGCAGTCTACATTAAAATATCAAGACTTGCGGTTTGACGAAATGGTTGCTGGAGTAGTTTTCTGTTGGGCTAACTTTTTTTTAGAGTGCTCGGATACTTTTGGCCAGATATATTTTAAAAAACAATTATTTTTGTATCATATCTTAAAAGAAGGTAATATATTGTTTTAGAAATGAATTATTTTGAAGTGATGTATTAAATATTTTGTCAGTATGTGGAATTTTTCCATTGTATTGTGTCCTTTAAGTTAAACATTCAGTTTTATATTATGATACAATTCTACTTACCAGAAATGTATCTATTCAAATAATGAGGAAAGTTTTTCCATAATTTTTTTTGTGACCAGCGTAGTCACTGCCATGTATTTAAGCATGTTTTTCAACTCCAAAGATTATTTTAAATACATAATTTAGATGCGACATAAGGGGGAAAAAACATTTATTTTAAACTTAATACGACACACAAAACTTTCCTTCTTTGAATGAACACTTTTTATATCGCAAAATGTGGCAACTATGGTTCTAGTAAGGAAAACAGTAAGAAACTCCTTAATCTTTATAATCGTTGTCTCTAAAAATATTAAAAGTGAATTAAACAACTTTTGTACTTTTTNAAAGAAATTAAGCGTTTTGAATTGTTTCTTCCAAAGCCAAAATTAATGCATGAATTAAACCTTTTAACCTGTTTCATTACCATTCCTCTCAGTCAAAAATTCAATGAAATCGATTTGCGAACCCAAATCGCTTTTTTCATTCACTACTCTTCGACTACTTTGGCCTTAATAATTGGCCTTAAATAACTCGAATGAGAAATTTCAGCAGTTTTAATCATTTACATTTTGCAATGTAATAGGATTTGCATATTGAATAGGCACAAAACAATGTATTAAAATGCATCTGTAACATAACTACACTATAAACTTTGTGTAATATTGATATAAGATTTCCGTTATTATGACAAATTTTTCAAAACACCATCAAAAGACAGAAATGAAAGATACAAATTTTGTTTATTTATAAATCGGAAAAAAACTGCTGGTCTTCCTCTATTGTGAAAATGTTTCGGAGAAAATTAATATTTATGCTGTTTAAATTAGCAATGCTGAAAGAAGAATGATAACTTTCCTTACGTCTGTTATTAAAACAGAATTATAGAGAAGAGAATTACATTACTTCATCTTATATTACTTTACTTTGCTGATTGTAAAGCAAACCGGTCACCTCCTGTTAAGTTATTCTTCGTGTTTACTAAAGAAAAAAAAATCTATAATTTTATTATTATTACCCATGTATGAAAAGACATTTGATGACTACTTTCGGAATGGTACATTCGAGATTTTTAATTAGTTACTATATGCATCATACGTGTTTATGCCAACCATCCTGCCTGTCAATTGTTACAACAGATTGTCAAACAGTTTAAGAACACCAAATGCTATTACATAATTTGATGGCTGTTAAACATGATGCTTTTTGATGTAGTTTTTAAAATTCTTTTACCACTCATTTTCACTTTAATTTAAGTGCTTTCTATTCTTATGTCACGCAGCTAGACTTGGCAAATCGCTTGAGTGACTCTCAGAAGGAGAATGAGCGTTTGGCTCAGGAAAATGCAAGGTTAAGAGCGATGCTTGCAGAGCAAAATGAGCAGCCAACGGTAGGCTAATGTTTTACATTATTATACACTATTTAAACATGATGTATGGCATTTAAAAACAATGGAATCTATAAGTTCTTTTTTAATATTTTTACCTGATATATAACAGTTTTAAATTTATTTTTCTAATTTATTTTTGCTGGCTAAGAATATTTTTTCCCTTACTCAATTGCGTCAATGTTTTTGACTTCAGTCATATTAATACACCTACAGAGAGAACTTTTTAGTGGATTTAATTATAGGTTTAAGAAAAAAAGAAAGAATATTTTTCGTAATCAACTCTATTTAAATATTTTTTTATTGTGATTTTGGGTCAAAAAGATCCATTCTCTGGTTCTAGTGTTAAATCAATAGTCAAATAATCACACCAGAATTATGAACAAATAGCAAACGTTATTGTTTTAGAAAAAAAGAGTCGGATTACAAGTGTTCACTACCTGCTCGAGGTACAACCAGAGAAAATAAACTAACACCTACATTTCTCAAAACTGAAATAGAAGTTTCAGTGCGAATTCCACTGCAGCGCTTCTAATAATTTTACATAATATAATTCATCTCTCTCTCTCTCTATATATGTGTGTATATACGTATGTATGCGTGTATATACGTGTGTATGTGTGTATACATGTGTCTATACCTGTGGATATGGGTGCCTATACCTGAGGATACACATGGATGCAGTATTTGAAACGCAGTATTTTTTCACAGTGCTTACTCAGTTTCCTTGTCTAGCAGGATTTGGAGAGCAGTAGTTGTAGAACTTAGTTTATATAAATAAGTAGATGAATTCTTTATAAGGCCATGTACATCCCACACATTTTCTTAGTTCTTAAATGTAGAGTGGGTGAAATTTTCCCCCAATGATATGGGTGGTCAGTTATAGCTTCAGAAAAAAATGAAGGAGTATGTTTTTAACACTAGAAAGACGGAAAATTAGTATATACCTATAAACCTAGTATTTATAAATTTGATTCAATTCATTCTAGCTTCAATTTGAAAATTTGGTTCTTTGGTTAATTCTCTACAGTAGGTAAAATTTATCAACCACTTTCCAATAAAAAAATTAATTTAAAAAACCTAATTTTAAGTGTTATTTGAATTTTATGCTAAATGGATTTAGTTTTACAAATCATTGTCAAACCAGAAAATATTTTAACTTTTAAAAATATAAATTGACTTTTCAAAATATTTTAATTTCTAGAAAAAGTAGCCGTATAAAGGTTTAATATCAATTACAAAATACACTATTTGGCTGTATTAAATATGTTTAGTCATTAAATGAATGCATTTGTGAGTAATAAATTAGAAATTTTCATTTTCCTCACATGCAGGATGGGATTCCACCTCTTGTACCAGCTTCAACACCACCTCCTGCTCCAGTTACTCCACCTCCTGCTCCAGTTACTCCACCTCCTGCTCCAGTTACTCCACCTCCTGCTCCAGTTACTCCACCTCCTGCTCCAGTTACTCCACCTCCTGCTCCAGTTACTCCACCTCCTGCTCCAGTTACTCCACCTCCTGCTCCAGTTACTCCACCTCCTGCTCCAGTTACTCCACCTCCTGCTCCAGTTACTCCACCTCCTGCTCCAGTTACTCCACCTCCTGCTCCAGTTACTCCACCTCCTGCTCCAGTTACTCCACCTCCTGCTCCAGTTACTCCACCTCCTGCTCCAGTTACTCCACCTCCTGCTCCAGCTACTCCACCTCCTGCTCCAGCTACTCCACCTCCTGCTCCAGCTACTCCACCTCCTGCTCCAGCTACTCCACTACCTGCTGCCAGGGCACGTAAGTGTCACTGTTTTATATATGCCGATTGACATCGCCGTAGGACTACCGGGTTACTACTTCCAACTGACTCTTAAGCCTGAGCTTAAAAAAACTCAAAACATGGCAAACCTTTATTTATGCTGCGTTTCATTTGACTCTGTTAGAATTTATAAATTACATCTTATGAATGGGTAAAATTTTACGCGTAAATTTAAACACAAAAAATACAATAAATCACAGATCGCCTCGTTAAGCATATTGTAAGCGGATGAACTTTAGGAAGCTTATTCATCCATGTCTTAAAGCTCTGGATACTTAATTGATCGTCAATACTGAGTGTGGTAGAAAATATTCTTATGAATAGAAAAATTACGCACAAATTTAGAAAGATTGATTCCTGGAATATCACTCGTATCGTAACATAGGCGGATTGATAAATCGGAAGTTATCTTTATTTCGTATGGTTTATATTCCCATCGATTGCTTGTTCGTAGGGTCTTTACAGTCTTATGTCACTTTCTTGAACTTACCAAAGTAGCACCTAATATTAGATAACATCTTTTAATATTAGAGAATAACTTCTAATATTAGAAAGTAACAAAAGAGTAGTGTTGCTTTTTATATTTGGAGTAAGCAAGAGGAAGATTTGGATGACAAAAGAATAATTCGGCCAGAAAATTTTACTTAATTTTCTGTATTGCTGTAAAGCAGTAAAATATAGAACAAAAGTTTTATAATGTCATTCAATGCATTATTTACTTAGCAATACAGAAATACTAAATAAAATTATGTTAGGGAATTCTGCTACCATCCATTTTCCTCCCTCTTACTCCAAAGTATTTATTATGTTCTGTTAAACTTTTGAATATTTCTGACCTATTTCAGAAATAATGTTATATTGCAATTTTTATTGATATGGATATTTTTTTCTTTTCTGTATACAATGGGTTTCCTGACTAATTTTCTCACATTAATACTTTTCAAGTCTTTTAGTTTCAAAATGTATTAATTTTTTTAGATATTTACCTATTTTATCAAAATTTTAATTGAATTTGTCAGTTTGTAAGACATGCTTTTTAAAAGTCGTAATTTAAGCCATTTGCAATATCATAATTATCATTCATTATTTATATTCTGAAACTTTAAGATAAGAAACCACACTATTTAATTACAAAGTTAAATTTACATTTGAATTGAGTTAAATATTTTCCTTAGAAATTTTTTTAAATAGAACTGTCATTAATTTCCAAAAATATTAAAATAAAATTATATCTCGAATTTTTAAATTGTTATTTTTTGTAATAATTAAGACGATGCAGAAATTTTAAAAATATTCAAATTATTTACCTGCACAAATCTCTTGCATATTTTTTCCCCTCTTATTTCACTGAAAATAAATGGAAAAATACTTAAGTATATTTATTCTTCTAAAATCTGAAATTTTACTTAACACTGAAAGATAGAACCCTAAGGCACACGTAGAAATATTTTCAGGGACTGAAACCAGGAAAGCCTTTATGAATTTTAATTAAAAAATTTGCCAATAATTTCTTGTACTGTAAAAATGTTACATTGGTGCATCAGAAATTTTTAAAAATTCGTTCATTAGTTAAAGGTACTATGTACTAACCAACATTTTTAGCCGAAAAATTTAGGTATCACATATGGTTCGAAATCCCCCCCCCCAAAAAAAAGAAAGAAAAGCAGTTAATATTGTATTTTATCAAAATTAATTAAATTTGCACAAACATTTATCTGCTTACAAGAATGAGACGGAAAAACATAAAATCTTTTTTAACTTTCCTTTAGTATTAATGACCCGAATTTGACTACCATCAGTATTTTGTTCAAAATTATTTTTTGTTCAATCACAAAATTTGTCTCAAATCACAAAACGTTTGTTCAAAATTTATCAATTCCATTGTTTGTCTTTCGTTGATAAGATATTATGCATTACAAACATAATAAAAACAAACATATCATGGCAGGTATACGTCTTAAACGGGACTCTTTAAAAAATCAAATTTCAAACGAATATTCATGGGAAAATTTTCAAAATTGAAGTAATAAGCACAATGTTGATAATAAAACTACTCACAAGTTTTGGATAGACTTTGAGATCAGCGTTGAAGGAAAATTTCCATATCAAAAGATTAAATGTTATCAAACTTTAAATAAATTTACCTGTTTTCATGACTCTTAAGCACCATCTACCGCAAAAACTTTCCAACCTTCTATTTTATGAAATTTTATCATTGCAAATATGATACCTGACAAATCCAATTTTTTAAAATTTTGAAGATTTATTACAAAGTTGTAGAAGAATTCACACACTACAGTAATTAAAACAAAAAAACATGATGCACATTACAACTATTTCAAAGCAAAGTAATTATATTTAAAAATTAAACACACTATAAATGTGATAAATTACCTTCAGTGTTTAAAATTAACGTCTATAACCTCTTCGTAAAATATTAGTTAAAAATACATAATTGTTATAAGAAAAATAATTTTTTTTCATGACTATTTGATTCAGTTTATTCCTCCAATCGCAAGTTTTGCTTACTTGAAATTAATATCCATTAAATGCCTTTTTGAAAGTTTTTAGGAAACGTTCAGAAACAATGTAACCACACAAAACAGGGATCACAGGTTTCACTTTCTCTTATAACATCGCAATCAACATGATAACTTCCGCCATTTAAAATGCACCTTTTTAAATATCATCCCAGCATATTACTCACAGCTTTCCATCAGAGTGTGCAATCTCCATTTTCAGTGTCCAGCTGCCCTTATCAAAAATGAACCAGCCTCGAGAACATTTAAAAACAGTTTCTTCGTTGTAGATTTTCTTGAAAATTAAGAGCTATCGCTGAAATTGAAAAATAAAATAGAATTTTCAAGGAAAAAACCAAATTCAAAACTATTAAACATTGAATATTTATTTGAATCTTAAATTATATAGTTTGAAAATGTTTTCAAGAGATTATAACAACCTTTACAATGAAATTCAACGTGTAAATTCCGGTATCGATACCTACATAAAAAAATCTCGGTAGCGCCCCACAAGAAGCACAAATCAATACAGTGGGAAGGAGATTAACTAAGATCATAAGTACTCCCAAGTATCACATTTTGTTTTGATAAATTAAAACTGCGAAACCCCCTTTTAATAGACCTGAAAATAACAACTCGCTATGTTGCAAGTCAACGTGGCGAAAAATGTTAAACATACAACTGTTTATTTTCTTCCATTGATTAGTTTAAAAATCGTTTAATGTACGTCATTGTAAAAATATACTCTAGGAATTCCATCAATTCGTGATTGAAAAAGTCCTGTAGAAGGAGNCATGACTTTTTGATACAGTTTGAGTTTATTCCTCCGATTGAAATTCTTTGCGTATTTGAAATTAATTTCCAACCAGACATTAAAGTTGAGCAACAGTTAATAATTTGTGTACCACACAAAACCGGGATGAATATCTCAGATTACCCACTTTCTTCAAACTTTAGCACCATAATCAATGTAAGGACTTTCCGCCATGCCAGATTTAAAGTGAACCTTGTTAAATATCCTCCCAGCTTTTCATTAGATTGTGCAATTTCCATTTTCAGTGTCCAGCTGCCCTTCTCAAAAATGAATCAGCCCAGAGAACTTTCTGTAGTTGAAAACAAATAGTTTCTTCATAGTTAATTTTCTTGAAAATGAAGAGCTATTGCTGAAATTGAAAAAGAAAATAAATTATACTTTTCAACGAAAAAAATCCATATTTAAAATTATTAAACGGTGAATATTTATTAGAAACTTAAATTATTTAGTTCGAATTTTTTTTTCAAAAAATTGCAATATCCTTTACAATGAAAATGGGTAATACCCGGTGTCGATACCTGCTTCAAAAAATCTCAGTAGCGCCACACAAGAAGCAAAAGACAATTCAGTCAGTATGCTTAATTAAATGTTGTCACATATTTATTATTTTTATGGCTTAATTAAATTTTTACAACCTTAGATTATTTCTAATTGAAATTTTTTTCAAAATATATGATTTAATCAAAGTAAAATATAAGTTTGCAAAATGTGACTTTTAACTGTCTTAAATGGCATCTTTTTGAACCTATTGATATTGGTCCCCAACTCATTTGGTTATTTTCTGGATGTCTCATGCATTTTAACAAAACATGATGTGATCACTTTTCAGTGGTGCCTTCGGTGTTCACATGCAAAGGATGCAAGCCCGCTACTGGGGCGGAGGTCAACGGTCCGCAATTCTTGAAGCCATCAATGCTGAAAGAATGCGGCTGGCGGTAAGTTTTTTTGTACTTCTTTATTAAATGTTCCATTGGATGCGCTCCTCCAATGAACCGCGGAAAACGCTGAAAAACATAAATATTAAATTTAATTAGTAAATTTTCTCTTAAGTAATTTGGATTAGTATCTTTGACTCAGCCAAAACGTCAAATCAATTTGAATCTAAGCACTTTATTAAATAGAATCTAAAGCTATTCTTCCCGCGCAGAATGATTTTTCAGAAACTTTCGACATCAATATGGGAGCCCGATAGATATCATTATAGGCTCTAATTTTTAATTTATTACTTAAATCCGCCATTAAGAAATCGGAGGCTTGATTACCAGTAAAACTACTCCAATTAGTGCCTTTGATAATTGTGCCAATTAGTACTCCAATTAGTGCCTTTGATGATATTAGTACTTGAATCCGTCTTTAGAAAATTAGATATCCTTTATTAGCAGTAAAATAACTCGTGCCTCTGCTGATGACATAACAATACTGGGTGAAAATTATAAATGATATAATTGCATCAACTAATAGAAGTAACAAGCTTGGCCGGTCCTTTACTTAATGAACAAAAAATAATATATATGAAGAAGAAAAACTAATATTACCAGGAACTACAGTGAATGTTTTGATGTTGATAATTTTAAATGTGCTACCGTGGATGATAGTTTTGCACATCTAGGCTCAGTTATAAACACTTCAAATACAATTTCCTTAG